TCCTTCCCTCCCTCCCTCATTCTTGTAGATTGTAGATTCCTGGGCATTTCCCTAGTGCCAGATTTCTCCATAAATCTATAATGTCTCCCTATATTATGGGACCTCTTTTCTTGTTCTCCTCTGGGAAGGTAGCATAGGACTGACCCAGACCTCCTGTATGTGGGTGTTAGTTGGGAGGACTGGGCAGTCTATGGGGCCTCTAGTAATTATCCCTAATATAAGAATGGTCTTTAGGAGCCTATCTCACATACTTTCTCAGCCTAGACACATGGGGGAGGGCCTAGGCCCTGCCCCAAATGATATGACAGACTTAGAAGACTCCCCATGGAAGGCCCTCGGGTTCAGAAAGGGGATGGGCTGGGGTTTGGTTGGGGTGATAGGGGAGGATGGGAGGGTGAGAGAACTGGGATTTTCATGTAAAATAATCTTGTTTTAAATTTAAATTAAAAAAAAGAATTTGAGACACAGTTATGAGAAGGGACACAGGAGGAGTTAGTATAGAAAGGGGGGAATTGAAATGATATAAGGGCAATACTCACAACAAAGTAAAAAATCTAAATTAAAGCAGTAGAGACTTTCAAACTATCTCCATGCATATATTCCCTATTATATTGTAATGTGGTAGAGTTAGGTAATAGTCTCATGGGAAATAAGCAGAAGGTGTGGGTAGGGTCAGTGAGAGAGCTGAGTAACCACAGGTCCTTACTACAAAGCAAGATGAGCTGAGTTCCATGCCCAGGAAGAGCATGATAGAAGGAGAGAAACAACCTTCACAAGCTATCCTCTGCCTCCCAAATACATACACACACATGCATGCATGCACGCATGCACGCACACACACACACACATACACACACACACACACACACACATGAGTTCTTCAACTCAGATCTATTGGCTTTATTGGTAATATTACATTAAAATGAAGTTCCTGGGAACCTAGCTAGAAAGAGTAGTTCATATCTAACTTTCCTACTACAAATCCATTGCATGAAAAGATTGGTGAATATCAATGTAGAACTTTCTTTTCTTCATGAATTCTGCCTTTTTTCATTCACCTAAAATACAGGAAAAGCTATCACCTAACCAAATGGATTTTTCAAATAATTTAAGTCTCATGTAGATTTATTTTATTTTTAACTAAAATATTGCTACATCGCTTCTTCCCTCCCATTTCTCTTTCTACCCCCCCCATGTACCCCCAATCCTTCTAAAACTCATTGCCTCTTATATTTTATGTATCAATGTTTATACACATGTACACACAAATGAATAAGTACAACTCATTGAGTGTATTTAGTGTTGCTTATATATGGTTTTAAAGCTGACCATTTGGTATTTGGTAACCAGTTGAGGACTAATCTCCCCAGGCATATGTGAAATGTCTCTAGCACTTTGTTTATGGATGGTGCCCTGTGAGTTTTGCACTATCTATATTGGCATGTCAATTGGTTTTATCATTGTTCACGTCTTGTCTCAGCAACAATAATATTGAGATTTCATGAATGCCACTTCCCTAGAAATTTTTATTCATCTTGTCCTCTGTGTCAAGTACATCAGCAAAGTATACACATGTACAACAAAACCAATGGTGTGCTAATGCTAACACAATGACAAAGATGTGCAATGCAGAAAAGAGTAGACTTTACACAGTCATTCCAGATTTGTATTTTATCTCTTCCTATCCTAAAATAAGCAATGAAGTCCAGAGAAATAAAGTGATAGCCACTGTGGCCTGACTAAAATGTTGATTCTAGTCTTTAGGAGCTTGTGGAAGTAATGTAACAGTACTCAGCACTATTCACTAGTACAATAGAAAAATGTCTAAAAGTTTTGATCTGTTAAATTTAAATAGATACATGTATAATTTTGTGAGTCATATGACCTTTTATAAGAAATAATACACACGCGTACATGTGTGCGCACATGCACACACATGCACATACACACACACACACACACACACACACACACACACACACACACACATACATAACTTGATCCATAGAATACTCCATGCTTAGAGTTCTAGTTTAGGACCTATAAAAGCTGAGGTATAATGTCAGCCATAGTAGTAATTACCAGTGGGACCGGTAATAGTAGAACATGGGAGTTCTGGCATCACTGCTATTTACAGGACCAATCAAGGTTACATAAAATGATCCAGTGTCAAAACAACAACAAAAATACTGAGGTAAACCCATACTTTCTGACTCTATTACAAAGGATATTTTCAATTTCCTCCACGATGCATGATGGCTTCTTACAATTGATATATGCAGTGGTCTAATAGATATTGGTCTATAGAAACCAATGAAAATCTCATCTTAAAAACATAAAACCTGTTGCTTGGGGGAGTATGTTGTTGCATTTTATATGACATTATTGCCTGTGCTGAGGATTGAATCCCCATCAGAATCTGATTTGAATTTTAAGTAGCATCACAGAAGAGTTTACTGTAGAAAACAAAATTCTGAAACTCATCCAAGCTTAGAGCATTGTCCTTTTTCTCTGCTTGCTTCTCCTAGGTTGCAATTATGGAAGCATATTCAAAGTGCCTTGAATAACTTTTAGTTGAGTTCCCATATTAGCAAGTGCTTGAGAGATCCCCTAAGTATTATCATGAGTAAAGATAACCACAAACTTGTCATAAGCCAGTTAGCCTCCTGCCTATAATCAAACTTGTGCATACTTTTTCCAAAAGTTTGCAAATCACACTGGATCTCTCTCATCTACGTTGTCTTCCCCTGTTTATGGAAAGTCAGTATTGCCCATCAACATTTTCAGATCCTGATTAAACTGGGTGTCTGAAACACTTTTCAAGAAATCTTATAAATTGTATTAACTGAACCAAAAATATTGTCTTTGCCTTGATTTCCCAGGTAATATTAATGTTTTATATGAAATTGAATTCTTAGTAAAGTCTACTGTGCTAGAGACCAGGAAACGGCACGTGTGCTGCATGCTTGCACAAGAACAAGCTGTCCCCTGACAATGAGCAAGTTTCTGCTTTGTATGTTCTGCGCTGTCATTACTGGGATCCCTTTAAAAATAACCTGTATTTCCAATACTGACTGGCGAAGGTTTAGATGTTTATAATATAAATCTGGGCAAATTTCTGCAGACAGAAATTTTATAAATTATCCTGTAGTATTAAACTTCACTTACTGTTAAAATGAATGTCCACATATCTGTGAGTTTTACACATTGCATCAGAAATTTCATATTTGCAATCAGTTTCACAATTGATATATTCTATCTTATAAATAACTAAATATAGTTAATAATTTATAATTTAGGGGCTTTAGAACTCCTTATGGAAACCTTTACTAAGGAGAAGAAACTTAAAAAGAAAAATTGCTTTTTTCTGTATTTCCTTCCCATGAAGTAACATAATACTATTTTAAACTATTATAGATTTTGCAATGTACATTGATGAATTTAAACTAAATTATTTTTAACTTAATTTATTTAACAGACCGATAGATAGGCTGGAAGTTTTATCCCATATTTATCTGCAAAATTTTAACAGAATTCAGTTGTATATGTTAGGAAATGTCAGCCAATGAAAGTATATACTCTTTGCTACTCTTGTTTCAAGTGACAACTTACCACAAGATTTTATTTTTTTACGTGCTATATTCTGAACAAGTGAGATTTTGCTAATAGAGCTGGCTGCTACTCAATAACACATCTGAATCCATAGAGTCGGTACAGACCAAATCCTTACTGAAAAATATTTAAAAATCTATTAAGTGAATACAAATTAGATATGCAAGGGTGGTAGATTCTAGACATAGCATTGTTCTGTATTTTGTTCAGCAACTATTTAACCAAAAATAATCTATGAAGATATATTTTCTGTCAAATTACACAGTTATTGTCCCACTAGATGGGAATGGGGACAGCACTTTATATTTGCCATCTAGGGCAAATGATCTTCTAGGAGAACCAGCAAAAAGACAACCAATTAGCCTTTGTTGTTTCTCTTTGAAATTTATCATTTGAGAGGGGGCCCTGAGTGAGTTAAGCTCGGAGTGAATGTATATTTTGACATGGGCATGGCCATGACAAGAACTTCCAAGACCTAATGCAATGGGACAATTGGCTAAGCTAACATCAGGCAGGTACAAGAGGCTGCAACTCTCTCCTTGAATGTAGGAGTGTGAGATTATAAGTATTAATAGAAGATTTGTCTGTGCATGCCATGACCACAGCTTCCCGCTATGGAATATTTAGAACCTGAGATGACTCACCTACAGAAACCTCTTATAGAGGCTAGCTAACTCATCCCCCCATGTTGTACATAAAAATCATGCTAAGGACTGGTACCTGGCAGAGAACCTTACTCAATCCCAGCTTTACCATATATATATCTGTGTTAACTTCATCCCCTCAGAATGTGTGGGTTGCAGTATTTTCTATTATTATTGGGTGTGAGTTTTTAGGTGCCTGTGAAGTCCCGAAGAAGAGATAGGATCTCTGAATCTAGAGTTACAGATAGTTGTTAGCCATCATGAAGGTTCTGGGACTCAAAGCTAGATCTCAGAGAATCTCCATTGTTCTTAACTGCTGACCTATCTCTCTAGCCTCTGCTGTTCCTATTAATCATCACCATATTGCCTAATGTTTTACAGGAGGATACAAACACACATGTGCATCTAGAAATACCCATGCATTTGTATATACCCATACTTATGCATCCCACACAATAACTAATAAGGAAATGTTACTCTTAAAAATAAAATTGTTCTAGACAGTGGTGGCACATGCCTTCAACCCTAGTACTTGGGAGGCAGATGCAGGCAGATCTCTGTGATTTTCAGGCTAGCCTGGTCTACACACAACCAGAGCTACATAGAGAAACCCTGTCTCAAAAAATCCAAATAAATAAATAAATATTGCTATTTTTAAGTTTCTAATATATACTACAAATAAGAAAGTGAACAAGCGCATGGGGGGGAAACTATATAATCATGTTCTTTGCTCTTCCTTATTAGGTTTTTCAAGGCAATTTTGACAATGACACTCACAGGAAGAATGTCATCGACCCTCCCATTTATGCACGACACATAAGGATCCTTCCTTGGTCTTGGTATGGAAGGATCACTCTGCGGTCAGAGCTGCTGGGCTGCACAGAGGAGGAATGATCGGACTCCACTTCCCACAATTCTTTTCTTTATTTCCCTGCAAGTATCTCCATGCAATGAACTGTGCAAACTCTGATGGAAATGGAATGGGTTTTCATTTTCTCATGAAAAATTGTTGAAATTTATAGTGGGCTACTAACTATCTTTTAAGGAGTTCTAAGCCTGCCTTTTTCAATAACTTTTGTTTTTATTGCACAACTCTCTTAAATAACTATCTGTGAATTATTGTCCTTGTTTTCAAATTATATACATTGGTTGAAGAATAGTAGGCAAACCAAGTCTCCCTCTTACAGTAAAAGTAAAGAACCTCACTTTCATCAGATGAAAGAGTTAAGATAGATATTCTGGTTACTGTTCAACTAACACTTATAAGTTTTAACAATAAGGTTTTTTTTTGTAATGAATTGGATTATCTTAATTGATTCCCTGTGCCTAACACTGTTAGTGTTTATTACAGCTATTTGGAGACCAATACATGATACACAGTTTCAATCGATATGACAAGTCTATTTCTATTTTCTTTACTTCCAATAAAAACTAAGTTCTTTATGTTCAACTTTATATTATTTATATGTGACATAAATAGACTACTTTTTCTCACTGAATTTTCACCCTTTATTTATCTGAAAGTATTATGTTAATTTACATTCATGGAACATCTACTAATATACATTGAACATGACTGGATGTCAGTAATTGTTCTATGTTTGATATAAGTACATTGAACCTGAATTTTTATTTTTGAAGGAAATTCTATCTCATTTCCAAAGGATTCCTTCTTTGAGAATTCCTTATCATTTCATGAAAAAGAACAGCAAAAATATCACAGCCACAGAATTTAAGTCTTAATTTCTTTGAAACAATAGAATCGATCTCTGCGTATTTAAGATATTAGCAATGTATGTGAGCCTAGTGCTGCACAGCTTGGCCAAGTGTACTGAACATTACATTTCCCCATTTCCTGTGAAATGAAAATTCCAGTGCTTTTTGAAGCCAGGCTTGGTTTCTTAAAAAAGCACGTTGCATAATTATTTGTGAGGAGCAATGTATTTACTGATGACAAAGTCATAAACCATTTTGAAGATGAAAATTGATTTCTATTTCTTTAGCTTCAAATGTCCTAGAAAAATAAGCCATTATCATAATAATTTGTTATTGATAATGGCAGCATCATTGACATATGTCTCAAATTAAAGCTCGTGATGCCTCCATAAATGTCCTCTAGACCTAATTTATAAGCTTTACAAGTATTTATTTTATAAGGCCTAGACACAGAATTATTGGAGTTCTAAATTGAAGGTCCAGGAGTAGAAGGGGTGGTATGTATATGAACTGCTAAAGCCCTGGAAACACCGCTATATTTTATTTTATTTTTCTTTAATATGTGTGCTGCATAAGGAAAGCCACTATTATTATGTCCTGTCCGTCCATGTGTTCACAGCATTTCTAAATGATGTAATTATGGAGTGGTCATCAGTCATAGTAAAGAACAGAAAGAGAAAGTCAACGCAATCACCATTTTAAATGACAGAAAATTTGTTGCTCTATGATGGGCATCTAACCAAATATTTTCCCAATGCCATATTCTCATTTCTTCAGGTTTGTTAAAAACTGTTGATTTTCAGTATATAAATTGCAGAATAATTTTGAAAGTTTCCCAAAACAAAAGTGCTGTGTCCTTGATACTACTGTCCTAGATAATATTTAAAGTTATCAAACAGAATGTTTAAAATAGTATTTTAAATTAAAATAGCCATTTGATAGAACTACTTAGGTCCTAAAAGTACAGCACTTACTGACTAGTCCATGGCCTTGTTTCTGTCAGGGATAACGGTACTACTAAATCTGTAGGTGTTTTTCTTTGCGGGTTATTCAATATTAAAGTCTAGAAATTATAAATAATATTTTGTGTTGAAATACTTTTTCAAAACTAGTCTTGCTCAATGTGATATTTTGAAATTTGTTTTATTGATACCTGCTTAAAATTTATTTTCCAAGGAAGTTGGTACTAATAGTATTTGTTACTGTTTAGAAAGTCAATGGAAGATTTCTCTTGCTTGTTCACTTTCTCCAGTGGATATGCATTTGTCAGCAAGGATGCTTACACAGAAAATAGTGACAAGTACTGGAAAGAAGCTTTCATGTCAGTTGTATCCAAGGATTCAAGCTGAAACATGATGTTATTTAACTTACAAGTAAAATTTTACCAACACAGAATTACCCACTCTTCACTATGCTATATAATTATCATGAGCTAATTTTATAACTCAGAAAATTATGAATTAATTAATTTTTAACATACATTTCATGTATATTCAATTGTAATCATCTATGATAGACACTTTAGGGATGACCTTCTCTTTGTGAATGAATGTCTTCATAAAGATAGGTATGAATTTTGAAGACCAGGTATTCATGACTGTATCTTTGCTAGTAAACAAAGTTTGAAATATAATATGGAATGCTGGCATCTTGTGTGTCTGTAAGGACAGAAATAACTAAGATACACATACTTTTGCAAACTTTCAAGCTGTGTAATATTTCAATGTTGTGTTTTCTTTTGTAGATATACCTAAATCATGTAGGATGTTGTAAAGTCAGTATGACCCTGTCTAGTCGTCAAACTTAAAATAAACTTTTGAAAACCTGTGCGACTTTTGAAGTGGTTGTAATTAAACATGTTTCTAAGAATATACAAGCCTGTGGATGAACACTAACCTTGACCACATACTGAGTTTAATTTTTATTTATACATATCATCAAATAAGCAAATGAAAAGATAGAGACTATAATTTTATTCAAATATAAGACTGTAAAAACGTTTTATCAGATATTATTAAAATATGTAAATTTCTCTATAACTTTATTTGCATATAATTTGCAAACTATTAACAATCAAATCATTTTCTCCTCATGTGTACTTAAAGTAGTACAGTACAAGACTAGCAAATCTATTGTTGTTCATATGATATTTCTACTACTACTATTATTCTTTCAGTTAATGATGCTCAGGAGTATATTAAAGGAAGCCTGTTGGTAGTAAGCAATAACATGATACTAATAATGTACATTTACCTCTAAGTCCAGTTATTGCTTAATAAATGTCTGAACACATGGCTTTGTCATAAACTCTCTGTCTCTTTAGAATCCACCAGTAAAATAAGCATGTGCAATTCCTACACTTTAATAACTTTTAGGATTAAAAAGAATAGAGTCATATTTAAGATATTAAAAGTTGGTAAATTCCGATGTCTGTGGGTCTCTGGTAGAGAAAGTCTCAGGATTCTGTGTTCCTACATGCTCCTATTTAATTGCATTTTAATATGAATGGTTCAGTGGGCTTCCATTTTTTGCCTATTTTTTGCATACAAACATACATAAATATACTTTTGTTGAGTAAAAACAATTATGAAAACATTCTCAATAAGCTTAATAGTGAATTATGAAATCAACCACATGGGGTAAATTTTGATTATGATAGCAGATTATTGAGAGGAATGTCTCCAGCCAGGAGACTTTCAGAGTGCAGCTGCTTCAAGATGGGTAAGTGAAAGAAACACTTTGAATTCCAGGAGAAAAGCCTCCTGAGGAGGAAACTATTCAGAGAATCTCAGGAATAATAGCATGAATCTGTACAACCTGAAAAACAGTATCTACAATTGCAGATTTAAGTTTGTTTTGAACGTACGTAAAACTCTCAATAAAGATTTTTTAAAATTCAAGTAAAAAAAGTAAAAATGTTACCGTACAGAATTCAATGCATATTAGTTCTTACAAGATTAATGATCAAAGCAACTTATTGCTTATTTGTGAAAACACTGCTCTGAGATGCAAAAGGGCCATTTGACTGAAAGGTAAGAGGATTAAAGCGCTTTGCCAGTGGAAAATGTCTCAACTACTCTGAAACAGAATGCACTGCCACATTTGTCTCTACAGAGTCCAGAATGCCTAGAGTAAGTAGCAATTTCTCTATTGATTTGAAGGAGAAAATAAGATGTTTTTGATTCTCTCTTAGTAACCACCTATAATTCATACTGGGCATTTCAGCACTGCTGCCAAGGAAAGTGTTTTCCACAGTAAGCAAGTCGCACTTACTAAAAGAGCTATTTCTATTAGTTGAATTCGGTAGCAGGAAAGAGGGAATGCTTCTGGAAAAGGCACCTCATTTATTTTTTTCATAACTTGCAGAAGTTGACTGAATCATTTAATAATACTATTTCTATGGAGCGATGGTCTAGTCACCTCCACAAATAGTCAGGGCATCTCAACGTTATGCATGGCATATGGTGATTGCCTCTGATACAATTTACTTTAATGTTCTTAAAGATGTGAGTCATATTCTTCCATTATATAAAACTCCATCACACCCTTCATCTGCCTACACGTCAGTATGTTAGTAACTATGATGGATTGCAAGGTAAGCTCAACCCACTGCCATCTGCATGGGAGCAGCAGCAGGGAGACCAGTGGTACTTTCAAACAATGTGTTCCCTGTGGCTAGAGAGTGAAATGCCTTGTGCCCATCACATAAGCACAGTGGGTGAGAATCTACAGGAAGATGAATGGAGTAGACTGTGTGCATCTGATAAAAAGAACAAGAATGATTTAACTGAAAGTTACACTAACTGACAGATTCGCCCCAGATTTATGCATCTCATCATTGTCCATTCTTTGTGATTTAGGAAAGGTAAAAAAGACAAACCAAATAAAATTTAAAAGCATTTCCTTTCAGCAAGAAAGGTCTATAGATAAGTGAATTTGACCAACTGGATTGCCACTGTGCTTTTAGAAGCCAAAGAGTTTTCTGCCTGGTCCTTAGGAGAGTAGTTATGAAACTAAACAAAGGAATTAAAGGTAGCAAACCAGCAATAAATATGCTTTGTGCTTCAGAGGTTATTTTTTAAACTTAGATATGTTAAATAAAATGTTTGACACCAACATCAGAAACATCCCCCAAAGAATGCTATTAAATAACATGAATATGCTGCTCTGATGTTTTAGATATGGGACCTGAGACTCCAAGTACATATTGATAACAATCAAATAATAATTCAAAGTGTTAATGCAAAGAAATGAGAAATGAGTGAGCTGATATATATATCCAGGAAATGGAGTGGTAGGAAGGAGGACTATTTATAAGAATTTTTTTATCAATTATAGTCTTG